GATACTGGCTTTATTCGTAACTTAATTAACGACATTTAGACAAATAAGGTTTTATTTTTAAATTGATTATTGTTCTGAATATACGATAGGCTTTAGAAAGGTTTAAACAAATATTACTTGCTAATAATTATCCTCTAAAGCATCAGAACAGTAAGTTTCGCATTTTTAGTTTGTAAATAGTCGTAAAGACGTGCAGAAATTGAAGCCTTTTATCATGTCCTAATTTTGTTTTCGTGTGTTCTCTCTAAAGGAATGGGGAACTATTAAGCAAATAGGGAATAAGAATGGCTTTTAAATACACTATGATACTCTGATTATTCTCGCTTTAAAAAATAAAATAGACTGATTGCAGAGCTCAAAATTGATATACGATCGTATGTTCATGTCGCCTTTTCTGTTGGATCTCCCTGCCGCCCCACTCGATCGAGTGTGTCTAAACACAGTTTTTGTAAGCGCAGTTGGATTCAAAGATCAGTCCTATCGAGAGGTACGACAGATTCTCGGCATAAGATAGAACTACTCGTTTCTCTAACTGGCAAAATTAAAGAGACCTTCGAATCCAACAGATTAGGCAGAAATACTGGTAAAAGTCAATTAAGAACTTCTGGTTAGTTGGTTGATTTACAGAGATTGGGGAATTTCCTTGGGAACAGGATTCAATTTAATTATTCTTTTGTTGGTAGTTTTTTTAATTGCAATCATTCTTTCTGTTTTAGTTCGCTGGTGACATCTGTCATCAAATAATACTCTTAAAATCATACGAAGTCTTAGTACGTTTCTACTATGCTCCAAGGAGATTGCCTCGGGGATAGCGCCTGTCTGAATGTTCTAGTTAGGCCAACCGATAGTTATCCAAGAGGATTCCCACTTTGTCCTTGGTTTGATCGGCCTTCGAATATTTTGACTCAGAAGTGAACTTGACAATTGTAAAACCAATTTTTATTCGTGTTTATTTAATATCTGCAAAATTCAAAATTAATCCTACTTAATATGCATTTCGGCGCAGCAGACATTATTGTTTTGATTTTCAATCAGCTATACTACTATAGATCAATTCTCATTGTAATGAAATTTCTTGGACTGCATGAGTTATTTCTTTATAATAAAATTTCATTACACAAAATAGATAAAGCACAATTTTAGTGTTACACAATAAAATTGGTTTGAATTCGTTTTCGAAACTTGGCTTGAGCATTAGGGAAACTGGAAATTGTCTAGTCCTGCACCATCTGCCATAATATTTACGATAATTTGCAGCATCGGAACGTTTACTTCGTACATTTTCAAACGTCTCTCTGGCATCCCCAATGAGAGTTGTAACACTTTCCTGAGGATGGCACCTATTAATGACGATGTCGGAAAGTCTTCTTTGAATATACCGAGCCAACGGTCTGATTCTAAAAATCATGAATATCATGGCAGATGACGCAGGGCTAGGTACATTTCACAAGGTCTCTGTCCCTGCGAATAAGTTGCGAAAACAAGGTAAAATCAACACTACCGCTAAAGGAGACTAAGACAACCTAATTTTACATCTGCTAAGCAGTAAGATTGCTAGTTATTCTGAGACTATCTTTATCACAGTATCCGTTATAACGATACTTTCCCTGTATTGTTTTGTCTCATGCGCACTAATTTGCATAAGCTTGATTTTATTCCACCAGTTTGAAGCATGAGAACATCCAGAAAAAGTAAGGACTTATTCTTTTCCATTTTCGTTGTAAACCAATTTGAAGAACCAGTTTTTTGCTGTCCAAAAATTATGTTCGAAACTGATATCTTCATTTTGTTTTCTCTATCTTCCGTAAGAAACACTAGGATCGAATTTAATGGGTTGTCTAAGCTAAGCTGCCTTTCATTAAATTATTTCTTATAATATTAATTTGTCTTGTATTATTACTATCCTTATCGTTATTATTATTTATATCCCTCTACTTATTTATGTACTAACTATTGAACTATCATATCTCTAAATTTTTAGTATAACGACTTCATTGTACAGGAGACTTTGGATTCTAACGTCATCACCAAGCGTATAATATTCGAGAAGGATCCAGACACTCAAGAGCCTCTGATTGAGGTGAATCCAGAAATTGTCAGACAATTAAAGCCTCATCAAGTTGAAGGTATGTTATCTGAGGCTAGAAATTGAGTAGTACTAATTTGACATATTTCGATTGAAAGTGTGTACTAAAGAGATTAGTTATTCAAACCCATTATAAGACGATGGTGGGCTTCCCTCACTTTTATGCTGTTTGCCCCTATGTTCCCCAAAATTTTTTTTCTCTTATTTACTATTTAATTTGCCTTGCTAAAAAAATTTCGAATTTGGTCTTGCCCACAATTGTAAACTTCCAGAAGCTTTTGCTATTCATAAAAAATTTTACCATTTCACATTGATGCTCCCTATTTTATGAAATTCTCTAACGGATACTTATTTGATTTTCGCTTATACGTTTTTACTTTCATTCGCAACACCATTTAATGAATATCAATGTAGACTAGTTCTTAATAGTACTGTATTCACTTCTGTATTGATCCTAAGATTATGAAGATCTGATAATTTAGTTTTCCTGCAATTATCTGAGCGACGTCTGGTTTGCCTTGCGAGACCTGCTTGCACCCACTGCGACATGGTATAATAGCAATGCGCCAAAAATATTCGCTATACTACTCGTGTTTAACCCTGGTTAAAGGAGCTGATAAGATTCACACAATGACGAAGCTGCAGTTGATCCTGCATACAAATTCTTTTTGGGAGGCTAGGCTAAATGAGATTCATTGGCATCGTGAGGCATACTCATATCATTGTGGGGAGATACAGCTATCAGATCGTTATCACCACATGACGATTAGTGATAAGGGAATCTGCAGTGTCAAGTTAATTTTCCATCCAGTTTGATAATCCAAATATTGGGGGCCTGCACAATGAGGCGGGATTATACTTACTATCAAAGGCTTGAGGCAAGTTGTCGAACGTAACGCCTCGATTAGTAGTAGTAGTGATTGAATGAAATAACTGAACCAGGGAGATAAGGACTGTATCCTACGGGGAAAGGAGGAGACTACGAAAGGACACGGTTGAAGAGGATTGCTAATTAAAAGGCAGACTTGGATCAAAACTTCCAGCACAGTGTGGTGGATGAGGGAACCAGTGGGGAGTGTGTACAGGCTTCACTAAATCCACTCTTTAGGTCACATCTGAATTAGTGTGTTGATTCGACCTCGTTTTCGCTACTTGGTCGAAGCGTCAGGGAAACCTTGTGGAACATACCTAGTTCTGCGTCTTCTGCCACAGTATTCGTGATTTCCAGCATTGGACCACACCATCTTGTTCTTCATATCTACAATTTAATTATTTTTAGGCTCATATTTATTTGTCCCATGTTTTGACTGCCAATTTTCATATTTTATCCTTTATAGCTGTTCAATTCCTCTGGAATTGTCTTATCGAATCGGTTGAACACTACAACTCGAAAAATGGTGAGACTAGTGGTGCAGTACTTGCACATTGCATGGGCCTCGGGAAGACTCTTTCTCTTATTGCTTTAGTTCATACTCTTCTTCGTGTACCACCCGATCTGCTGCCAGGTCTCCAAACCTGTTTGGTAATATGCCCTGTATCTACTATTTTAAATTGGAAAAATGAATGGGAAATGTGGGTTCCGCCAGATGCGCAAGTTCATGTCTTTGAATTAGCTACAAAAATCAACAATAAGTTCCGCGTTGACGTTCTAAGACGATGGAAGAAAGTTGTAGGTATTCTTCATAGTCTGAGATATTTTTTATATTTCATGTTTACTTTTTATGGGTTTTCCTTTTTTTAGGGTGGCGTCCTGTTGATTGGCTATAGTATGTTTAGAAATCTGGTGACAAGTTTCATGAAACGCGTACGTTCAAAAGATACTAAACAGCTACTAATGCAAACTCTACTCGATCCTGGTCCAGACATAGTGGTGTGTGACGAAGGCCACTTGCTTAAAAATGAGAAATCTGGTCTTTCGAAGGCTGTTTCACAAATTAAGACCAAGAAGCGTGTTGTTATGACGGGCACTCCCTTGCAAAACAGCCTTGCAGAATGTATGTTTATTCTATGCAAATTGTTGCAAGCTAAGTATACTTGCATTTTTTTATTAGAAACCTTTAGAATTATGAACACTTAAACATTTTATTTTATATTTCATCATCCTAGATTTTACTATGGTCAATTTCGTAAAACCTAATCTCCTTGGTACTGCTAAGGAATTCAGCAACAGATTCATAAATCCCATACGAAATGGACAGCATTCCAACTCAACTGCCACTGATGTCAATATTATGAAAAAGAGGGCTCATATTCTTTTCAAAACTTTAGATGGTTCTGTCCAGGTCAGACAATTTTGGCTAAAAAGCATTGCTGCTGAGATGGTTTTCCTGTTTTTAAAAATGCCTATATTTTCATTTTTGTTCAACTTAAAAATGCCTAGCTGTCTTCAAATAGTGATGCTATCCTATTGCGCTAGAATAAGTTATCTTTTTTGCATTCCTTTATTTTGGAAGAAATCTGAGTCGATTGGCAAACCAATATTTTTAATTTATTCAATGGGAAACTCTTTTTGTCTTGTAGTGTTGGTTCGACCTTGTTCGACCTCGCAACTTGATCGGAGCGTCAGGGAGACCTTGTGGAACGTACCTAGTTGCGTGTCCTCTGCCATAGTATTCGTGATTTCCAGAATTGAACCATTAACTGGGTACATCCCTAAACGTTTCGCCACCATCGTAGTCTGCATCGTCAGTGAGAGGCTTACATCATATCAGGGACAAGTGAAGGCAATCCTCTTGACCAATTTTCTGTTCAACCGTTGTGGCATCACTCCTCGCCTCTATTTTTTGTTGTACCTTCATTCTATCAACTCCGCTTAATATGGCCCATCCACTTATTCACACAATACTCTGCTCTCGTTTCCTCCAATTTCGCCTGAGAGTGTGTCGCTACAAGTGGGTTTTTATGAAGCGTAATCATCTCCACTACCAATACCAGATGCCGTTTGCAGGACTCCTGACCTACATTGTGCTCCCCCATTTTTTTTCCTACTCGCTTGTCAATTCGCCGTTGCTAAACATAAAAATCACTGTTTGCCTGTCCAAAAGCCTTTCATTCCCGTCCTCGATCACACCATATTCGAGGATTTAGAGCAGATGATGCTCATGGGCATGGACACAAAATAGAGACGAGGAGTAATGCTACAACGGTTGAACAGAAAATTGGTCAAGGAGGTTGCCTTCACTTGTCGCTGATAGGTTGTAACTATGTGCTTACAATGGCGCCTCACTGACGATGCCGGCGGAACATTTAGAAATATATCCAGCCAATGATCCAATGCAGGAAATCAAGAATACACTGACAGAGGACATGGGACTAGATACATTCCTCAAGTCTCCCTGACGCTCAGACCAAGTTGCAAAAACAAGGTCGAACCAAAACTATAAAGCTAAAGGAGACTGCGACCAAACAGATTATCACACCATCTTGGTTTTAATATATATAATCTTTTGGTCTTGCTCACATATGCCTATATCTTCTTAATTCTTAATTATATTTAAGGGGCTATGTATACAATCTTGATTACCTTTATTCAATTGTGGATTTTAACTAACAATAACAATACAAAAGTTATTGGTTTTTTGTTACTTCATATATCTAATCATTATGAGTGTGTTCGATCTAAAAACGGTTATTTGTATATATATCTTTTAACTTCAACGTTTTTCCTTGGCAAACAGGTGCTTTTTAAAGTTATTTTACTGGAGACGTTCTAAATTCTCCAATTAACAGTCTTATATATGTGTATATTTGCGCATGTTTTCGGATTTCCTTTATCTTGTGAAACTATCAGCCCTTATTTATTTATTTCCTTACTTATAACTATTCATTTTTATTAAGTATTTTCTTGACACTGATATATAGCTTTATCCTATGCGTATCAAGTTTGTCGTGGTAAGAAATTCTGAAAACATTCCTACTTCATGCATCAAGAGTAATAAGCCACGTATATTTTATTCATTATAAAATTAGTTAATGTTTGAGCGATTACATTCGCGTTAATATGATTTTAATCGAATTTTTTAATTATCGAGAGAAGTTTCACTTAGAAAGTTATGTCCGAAGTCGTAAAAAGGCCTAACTACCTCGAGAAGGCACGTTGCGATTGTGGAGTCCTCATATAGTTAACTATGAAAATTTGACATTATATTTGATTCTGTTTTATTTCATTTGTCCTTATATGAATTATCCTTCTGTTATAATAATCACCTTGTACTTAAACTTGCCTCATTTAGCTTTGCATATTACTACCATTTTTGTCTTGCAAAACGATAAAATAACAGTGTATCTTACAAATTTAGCGCAAAGACTACAATGCTCTGACTAAATATTTGCCCCCGAGATTCGAATATGTTCTGAGAATTCGAATTTCTGAGCCACAGCGTCGATTGTATGCTGCCTATCTTGATTTACGTCAGAAGGGTAAAATTAAAGACTCGGATGTAATGGCTGAACTTCCCAATCCAGAAAATACTGAAAATGAAGATGTTGACTATGATCTTGTTATTATTGAACAACAAAGCATTCGCGCTAAGTCTAATACGGCACCTAGCCTTAATGGTCCTGGAGATAAATGCCCTCGAAACAGCCTCTTTGCTGATCAACAAGTGCTTTACAGGATTTGGACTCATCCCTATACTTTGCGCATCCATGAAACTAGAGAAGCCAGAAGAGTAAGTAATCTAGCGTTTTAAATTTTGCATCAAAGCTAGTGGCGAATTGTCTTGCTTATTTACTTTGTTAACATTTTTATTTCATTGCCTATGTGGATGTTCTCTTATAATAACTGTTTAATGCTTCTATTATATTTAACTCATTATAATATGTCGGGACTTTTTGCCCTAAAAGTGTAGGCAAAGACAATAATTATGTTTGTTTCACATTGCACTCT